CCCCCCCCCCAGCCCGGTCCGCACCACGTGACTCCCTCCCTTCCCCTCCGCATTCCCACACGTGACGCGGGGAGCACTGACGTATGGAAGGGGCGGGACGAGCGCTCGTGCCCTTCCGGAGCGGAGTCAGGACGCGCTTCCGCTTCCGCCTGGGTCGCGCCGCCGCCGCTGCCGGGCCGCTTCCGCCGCCTCCTCCTCGTCCTCGTCCCCGTCCCACCTCAGGTAAGGGGGGGCCCCCCGCCCTTGCCGTCCCGTCCGGAAAAAGCCGCGTAGGAGGCGGCGGGGTGCGGAGCCGTGCGTTGAGGGGCGCAGGGAGCCGCCCGTCGGGGTCGGGGGTCCGTCTTCGGGACGCCAGCGGCCCTCGCGGCAGGGCAGGCGCCGTGCCGGACGAGCGTCGAGACGGGCCCTTCTGGGGCGATGCCGTCGATGTTCCTGGAGTATAAAGAGCACGACGTACAAAAAACTATTATTTTTGGCTGCAAAATGATGCCTGTTATTAAACCAACTGGGAAAATCACAAGAAAATGGTGCTTTTCTGCAAGCTTTTGGGGATCAAAGTCCCTTTGTCAGGCAAGGACCATTTTCCTGTGATTTCCCAGTTGGTTTAATAACAGGCATCGTTTTGCAGCCAAGATTAATGTTTTTTTGTATGGCGTCTTGTCTCGGGCCAACGTGGCTACCAAGTGCCGTATAAGCACTTTGTCAAAGAGGAAAATGCAGGTAGTAAAGGGCTCTTCAACCCTGCAGGTGATCAGGACTCATGGTAGAGGTGATCTCCTTTATTAAACCAACTAGATTTTTGCAAAAAAAAAAAAAAAAAATAAATCTTTAATTGCAAGTTTTGAATTGTGTGCCTGAAAGCTTGCAGTTAAATTTTTTTTCAATTTTTGCAAAAAATCTTGTTGGTTTAATAAAAGATCATTACTGTGAGTCCTGTTTGCCTTTAATGTATATAAGCACTTTATAGCATATAAGCACTTGGTCAAAGAGAAAAATGCAGGCAGTAAAGGGCTTTTCAACCTAGTGGGGAAAGGCTTAACAAGAGTCAGTTGGGACTCAAGGTAGAGAGTGATCTCTTAGTAGACCAACTAGGTTTTTGAACAAAAAAATCTCTAATTGCAAGCTTTTAGGCACAAACATCACACATCAGGAAAGTGCATATTTCATACGGAGGAGTTGATACATGGACTATTCCTCTGGGCAGGCAATTAATTACACCTTACTAGTTAAGAAAGGCGGGCCCGGAGGAGCAGTCCATCTATTGACTCCTCTGAAATCCTATGAAATGTGAACTTTCATTTCTACCCAGGAGAACTTTTACAATCTTTTCTCCAATGACCAAAAGCTTGCAATTAAAGATTTTTTTTTTTTCCAAAAATCTGTTTGGTCTAATAAAAGCAATCACCTGTACCACGAGTCCCAGTTGCTTTTTCCTGTAGACCAATACAGCTGTAACCTGGATACCTAACAAGAATCAGTGGCTGGAAGCTAAAATTAGGTCACTTAAGACTGGAAATGGCAGTCATTTTTAACAGGAAGGATTGAACCTGCCCATGGAAATAATGGGATTATCCAACCGTTATCTTCAGATCGACAGTAAACACCTTTCTGGAAGGAATATTTTAGCCTAGGGGTGGGCCATGTATGGCCCATATAGATCTGGCCTGCAGAGCCGTGGGGCTAGGTGACTGGGAGCTGTGTCCATGCTGCAGCTGGAAGGCAGGGAGAAGCAGCAGTGGCCAAGTTTGGATGTGGCTCCAAAAACCTGGGGACCGCTGTTCTAACTGAATACAAATTACACTTCAGTTGAACCCAGGTTATTGGGTTCATTACATGGGTAGCAGGATGTCCTTTTAGTTGTGTGCAAGCAGGTCCCTTCTGGCCTTAAGCTTTATGGAGCTGAGAATTGGCTGCCCAGTGCAAACAGATGGTGGAAGAACAAAAATGTAATGAGACAATGAGCAGAAATCCCACAGGGGAAGGACAAGAAATATTAGTATGGAGGAAGTTACATGCCTGCCAAACCAAGGCTCTTAAATGGTTTGTTTGGGGGGGGGGGGGGTGGTTTGGATGATGGGAGACAATTATTTTGAAGAATGATTCCCCGTATATGTAAATTTACTTTGTCATCTTGGAATTCTAGGTAATTGTTACCACTGACTGTCTATTTATGGCGTTTGTCCCTTTGTTCTTCCTTATGTCTACCTTCAAAATAGTTTGGAAACTTCTGATAAGATTTAAAAGCCCTACTCCAGCCCTTTTCTAGTTGGGACAAAGATAATGGTGGTATCGAGAGCGAGATTAACTTGGTAATGATGAATGATCTAACTGCTTAATCTACTCCCTCCACGTGTACTAGTCATATTTATAGCTCATAATGATGCATGGTTGTGAGGTCAGAGTCGATGATGCATACAGGGTGTGTTGGCCTGTCTTCTGATAAATCATGAAATGTGGGAAAGGAAAGCTTGATAGACTGACGCAGTGATTGAAGGAAAGAGCTGTAGGAACTTGGCCATGGGATAAACTTTAGGGTGTCTCTTTTATAATTGAACATACATTTACAGTTTTGCCACCACTATTATTTGTTTGGACTGTGGAAAAAAAAAATCAGAGTCATTGGCATGGCTGTGCAGAGCAAAACCCATAATGTAGGTGCAGTTATACTAGCTAGGAAGTCCTTTTGCTGTTTCAGTTTATTCTGTTCAGTGAACTGGGTTAAACTGTGCTGACAGAAGAGCTCTTTGCCAGTGTAAGGGGTATCTTCAGGAAGGGGGTTGTGCGGACAAACTAGTTTTAAGGATAGACCTACAAATAGAAGAGAAATGGCCCTGCCCCCTAAAATATCTAATCTAAAAATTATAAAAGGATACAGAAATGAACACACCGCAAAGGCAAGAGGTTGTAAAAACTCCTGTGTTAGTTTTAGGTACCTTTGGCAGCATGATTAGTATTTCAAATAATTTCTCTGGGCAGGTTTTTTTTGGGGGGGAAGGGTATTGGTAATGAATGTGTGTGTGAGGGGGTGGAAACAGGATTGGGAAAACCGCAGAGAATATCATGCTGGGTGCTGGAAGTGGGGTGGGGTTGGAGGGAGTAGCAGGTAGTTGGACATATTTAGGAAAGAATTTATAATCCTGAAAAGTTGGTGTAGAGGCCATTTGTGATTTTTGGGGAGTGAAGGCAGTTTGCTGGTTCTCCTGTGACCTGGGAGCTTCTAAAGGCAGACAAGGTTCGTTGGGTGAATCTGATATCTTTTATTAGGCCAACTAAATAAACCAACATGGCTATAACCGACACCCCTCTAAAAGCAGAAGGATTTCATAGCCTCCCTGGAGGCCTCTCCATACCTGGTTGTTGGTGGTTAAGATTGGAGTCTGCTGCAAGGCTGTACATTGGCTCTCTAGGGGAGGAATGAGGGTCGGCTATGGGTAAAGGATGAGGGAGACATTCAGGGGCAGGCTCCAAATTAACCCTGATAGTCCTGGGTAAAGATCTGGGTTGATTTGGTGTTTCAAAGCAACCAGATCTGTCCCCGGGGCCTGGCGCTGCCAAGTCCCTGTGCTAAAATTTACTCTTGGGAAGAAGGGACAGTTTCCAAGGGTGGAGGAGGGGCCTTTCCCTTTGTTTTTATAGTCTTATCTTGCAGCAGAATGAATAGAGACAGGACTTTGACATCAATGTTGCTAACTCTGTAATCTTTCCTGTTCCCTGCCAAACTATTTAAACCATAATAACTCCTCTGCTCCCAGCCCCTGAAAAAGAATAATTTGAAAATTGCTTCAGCCTCTAAACTCTGGTGCAAAAACTGTCAGTTAATTTAGTTGGTTTCATTTTTCTTCCTCTCGACATGTAATAGCACTTGTGTAATGCTCATCTAGGAGGCACGTAGCAAAACTGTTCAAGCTGAAACTCAGATTCCATTTACGGCTATCCTCACCTTTTGCACAAGATACAGTCAGTGCATTTATTTGCTGCACTTCCCTGTAACACTGAGTTCATTAACTTTAAGTAAAATAATTGGATGGTGTCAGGTTAAGTACTTTAAAATAGTTCATAAGATTTTCAGGAATCAGTCTAATGTTTTGCTTCATGATTTTTTTTTTTAATTGATGCACTTCCACTATTCCGTTGAGGTTGTTCATAAACATAAAAGTAGTACTTATAGTCCCACCATGATAAACAATGTGTGTGGGGTGGTCCCCCAGTGGCTGGCAAAAGAGCAAACCCAAAAGTGCTGGCGGTGGATGTAGAAGTGCTTCCCTGCATCCCACCCACACGACCTTTGCATCCCACCGGTTGAGAAACACTACCTTAATGCATTTCATAGTTGTTGTTTTGTTTTTTTGTTTTTTAAGTTAGCTTTAGATTTATGAAAAGGGAAGGGGCAGAGATATGGTAAAACTTGGCCTAAATCTAAGACTGTAAGTTACTGAATGGTGTTCCTTTGACCTGTCCCATTCATGTCTTTAAACTTTATCCTACTTCTACTAGGCTTAAGAATCAGGTTGACTTGGGGAATAATAACTGTCACTAAAGCCTCTTGTTCCAGGCTTTGTCCCTCCAGTGTAAAGGAATAAAACAATTGTGTTTTTAAATTCTCGTTCAGTACCTTTGTTCTATGACAAGATTTGACTAGTTTACTGGTATTAGTTGAATAATTGTCATGTATGGTGGTTGAACAGTGGAGAAGCTTTGTATATAGCTGTTGACAAACTTAATTGGTGTTGTCAAATTCTGGATGAATGCTCCTTTCAGCCAGCCCCATTTCTTCCCTTCCTTGACTCTCAATCTTCCTCAGTTCTGCAATAGATGATGGATGTCTTTTTCAGTTGTTTTTGAGGTCCATCTGCTCCATTTCTCTGCCCTCTGTGATTTATAGTGTACTGCCAGGTCTCTGATTTTTAGTCTTGTTCTGTATCCCTTCCACCTCTTTCCTGACTCGCTTTAATCAACTAGCAGGAAGGCTTTATTATGATGATGTCAAATAAGCTATTTCAATCGTAAATTGGTGCTTTCTATATATTTATCTTTTTCTTAGAATTTAAGTCTCATTGGCCTAGTTTTGCTTTTCTTTTTATTAGCCAGGAGCTAGCTGTACAGATCTATATTACAGTACCACTGTATAGCTCATCATAAATTTGCTTAGATGCTCCCATTTTTGTTAAATGATGGGGAATGGCCTTTTTCTTATTTACTAGATGGTTATGTTCATGTCAAGCTACATGCACATGGAAATAAAAAAATTAATAAAGTGCACTTAAATAATTTTTTTAAAATGGTATTTAGTCAAATAATAGGTGATGATCTATCAAAGTTCATAAACTAATAGCAAGATTTATGTTTTCCCTTAAACTGGGGGTGCTAAACTCACCCAGCTCCCTGGGCCAGACCCAGCCTGCAGGGCCTCCTGCAGGCTGGATCCAGATGCGGAAGTGGCCCCCATTGGGGTGACATGGCTGTTGCTCTCCTGCTGCTGCTGACACATCCCCAATGGAGCCTAGATTGCAGTGGTGGGCTTGGCCTCTCCAGGAGCCCTGCAGGTCATATGACATGGCTTTCTGACCTGGATTCAGCCTCTAGGTCTTGCATTAATGCTTTTACCTTAAAGGAAATATGAGGAGTTGGTGAATTGAACTGCTTATTTCTAGACATCAACCCCTTCAAGACTCTAGAAGTAGCAGATCTCATCCTCTTGCCACTAGTTTATCTTCATAGAGTAGATGAAGAAAGCTGAATTTCTTGCTTTCTCAACTCTGTGTGAACTTGTTTTCCAACTAGTACGGTTCAGTAAACTGAAATGAAGAAAACGGTCTTTTCTGCCGATGCAGAGAACATATCGCCAGAAGCTGATTTAGTACCTTAAGCAAAAGCTAGTTCCATTGACTTCCACAGGCTCCGTGTAGTCTGACTTCCTTTAAAACTTTTTAGCAAGAAATATTTCTCAAACTATTTTAATTTTTAACTACTATAACAGATTATGCTAAATTGAGGCTTGAACATGTTGAGTTTTAAAATAAGTTATTCATATCCTCTCTATTTGCATCATAGGCTTAGGAGTTGATCTCAGGGCTGACGTTTATGCTGCCTGGCCACAGACTGATACAGAGATGCAGAGGTGCCACTCCAGGGACAATCCCTCGTAGGGTAGTTGATGTGCCCTTGCTCTCAGGTCGCTGAAGAGGGTTGTCCTTTGTGGTTTCTGTTTGGGTGTTGTTCTTGCACTCTTCTTTGATAGTGCTGTGTTTGCTTTACAGTGTTACCCCACCGCGCAGCTTTTTACTTTGAGAAAGAAAGTAGAAGCATGTTGTTTTTTTTTCCCCCACTCCTCCTCCTCCCTAGGAGCTTCCTGCTGTTGGTGAGGGAAGAGGAGTATAATTGTTTCCACTTATTCCTCCTTCCATGCTTCTGGCCATACAGATGTGGGTGTCTGTACATTTGTCCCTCTAGGCTTCTGGTTGTTTCCAGTTTTTCCCCTGCCCATTCTTCTCGACATTGGACATCTTTTTTAATGAGTAGTCGGATTCCAGATCTTGCTGTGTCTCAGTTTGCTGAAGGAGCAGATTGAAATGAATTTATCAGGTTTGCCACTGTTGTGCAGATCCAGACAACAGCTGTGAAGACTGCCAGAGTTGGTCGGTTTTCACCCTGCCGCAGTTTGGGTAGGTTCCTGGTAAGCTGTTCCCAATCTTTGTGTGTGACCCCCCTTGCAGTGCAAGCTGCAATGCCAGGATTACGTTTCTGTGGGTGTCGCACCTCCAGCTTTGAGAGTGCCTGATTTGAGCAGCAGTAGACTGGTTGGTTGTGATGCACAAGCATGGCATTTGTTTAATCACTTCATATTTTGAAGGTTATCTCTGTAATTTGAATAGTACATTTTTAGACCTATTTAAAATAAGACCGTAGGACGTGCCTGTGTGCAGTTGGGTTATTTTTGACTATTCCACAGGTGCAAGGAATGCACAAAAGATACTACGTATTAAACTTTGTAGGTACCCTTATGCTTCTGAGGATTATGCTTGGGCAGTGGAGGGCCAGTTTGCTCTTCAATGAGAATACCATATTTTTTCACACATAACACCCTCCCCAATATAATTTATTTATTTATTTATTTATTTTAAATGTTATGAAAACACTTTGTGCTCCCCCTCCCCCAAAGTTATAGCTGCAGGGAGCCAAGAGAGCCTCATCTTCAGCTGATATTTTCCTGCTTAACTAAAACCCTTTCTACTGCTGAAGATTTGTCTCCATGGGTCTTGAAAAGAGCTGTGAAATAGGAGGAGAGACCAGAAGCTGGAGCAGCATAATTCCACTAAGGAAGCTAACTTTTCTTGGAGGAATTTGAGGCCATTAAAAAGAAGAGATGATCTTTAACACCGGTGAAGTGAAGAACAATGGGCCATTAACTGAATGGCCCATTAATAGCCCATTGACTCCTTCAGCTGCCTTGAAGCTAACACCAGAGTTGCTCAGGCTGCAAAAAATGTGCTTCCTGTGTAATACATTCACCCCAGTTTTAGGGGGGTCTAATTTTGGGGGTGGGAAGTGTGTGCTGTATGCAAAAGAATATGTACCCGTATGTTTAACAAGCTTTAACTTGAATACAGTGACTGGGAAGTTGAGGCAAATCAACTGAAGTTAAGTGCCTTCCTGTAGACAGGTCCTTATATTTTGTAGAAGGTGAGATTGCTTGTCTAGACAAATGTCCAACTTGTCAATAAATGGATATTAGAAGTTCTGGTTATAGGATCCAGGATGGCCAAATGCTCCCTGTTTACTGATTTGGGTCCCTTTATGTGGTTATAATCCTAATATAGGTGAGGGCTGTACTAAAGCTCTGTCTCTTCACCGACGGCAGAGCTGCTTGAGGCTGTACTGGTAACAGATGGGTATCTGTTCAAGTCTAAATCATCAAAGCAAAACTATGTTGAGCAGTACTACCATTTGGAGTGTGTGCAGCAGTTTCTCTGTTTCTAGGCAGATAGCCAGCTTCCTTACAAGCTGTTGCCTGAAACACTTGCAGAATTATTTTTAATCAACTTTGCTTTTACTTTTCAGTAAAATGTCTGGAGCTGATGACTTTTCGGTAAGTAATCCAACCACTTTCCTTTCTCTGAGATCATGTGGCCCAGCCACTTGATTCTGAATTCCAGATGTAATGGTTCAAGAAGTGGGGAGGTCAGCCCTGAGAGTCTTTTTTTCTTTGCTGCTGTGGGTGTTATGTTAGCTCTGAAGTGGGCATAGTACACTGCCGTGCTGAGTGTACAGTGTGCGCTGTCTGACTTGTGCAAACTTTCAGGTCTGATACCATTCTTGAATTGTAAATTCTATTTGTTGCTTTCAGTGCGGCTAGGTTGGAAACTTTAAAGGCTTTTTGAATCTGTTTTTGAGAAATTACTTGCTGCTTCATGCAGTAGTTCACCTCCTTGCCCTTGGGTTTTTATAATTACTGCATGTCCATATATCTTTTCTTGTCATCTTAAAGGATAAAAAAAAACGCCATTTGTCTCGCCTTAGCAGCAGCAGATGCAGCCAGTTCTCCCTCCCCAGTAATACAATACTCAAAAAGTAATAGAGTGTCAGGCACAGCAGATGATTGCCATTGTGGGCAGCGTGCATTCTCATCACTGCTTTATTTTTCAGTTGGCAGATGCTTTACCAGATCAGTCACCTGCTAAAGCCTCCAAAGTGAGCAACACGAAACCCAGTCAGCAACCTGGGCAGCCACCGCAAGGTTGGCCAGCTTCTAATCCTTGGAACAACCCGAGTGCTCCACCGGCAGGGCCATCTGGATTGCCACCAAATACGTCCGCCTCCAGTGTGCCATTTGGCCCACCACCAACGGGAATGTATCCTTCAATGCCCCCTGGACCACCTGCTCCGTTTCCTCCTCCTCCTACTGGACCCTCTTGCCCTCCTCCTACTGGTCCATATCCACCCCCAGCTGTTCCAGGTCCTGTCCCACCAGGGCAGTATCCTCCACCAAATATGCCCTTTCCAGAGCTTCCAAGACCTTATGGTGGTCCAACAGAGCCAGCTGCACCTCCTGCTCCTGTTGGGCCATGGGGATCCATGCCCTCTGCAGCATGGGGACCAACAATGGGAGGGCAGTATCCTGCACCTAGCATGCCATACCCACCCCCAGGGCCATATTCCACTCCTACCCAGACACCAGGGGCTGCACCCACAGTGCCATGGGGTACTGTCCCACCTGGACCATGGGGACCTTCACCACCAGGTCCATTCCCTCCACCCACAGGATCTTATCCGGCTCCAGGACTGTACCCGACACCCCCTAATCCTTTTCAAGTGCCGTCTGCTCCTGCTGGTGCTCCATCAATGCCTGGTGGCCCCCATGTGAGTATTTTAATATTACTATGTCAGACATTGCCAAAATTCCTTCTGTTAAAAATAGTAGGCCTGGGTAGTATAAGACCCGTTAGCAAAAAGCATGGCCTCTTGGAACAGCCAGCTGCTTAATGGCAAACTCCCTGCTGAGGAGAGCAAAATGTACCAAAACATTTGGCTTAAGCAATTATCGTAGAAAATTAAGGTTGGAATGGACCTCGGGAGGTTATCTAGTCCTTCTAGCTTGGACTTTAAAATACTGTTACACCTGTATTAGTATAACAGTGATCTCTAGGTTTGCATTTTATGGTCCTAAAAATACTACCTGCAGTTTAGCAGTAGCTTTGGTTGGCTCTCTCTAGCACAAATTAAAAATGGGAAGAATTCAACTCTGTATACAAATAGACAAATATAGACCAGGGCTGTCCACCTGGTATCCCACCAGGGGTTAAGTTGTAGCCCCCCAGGTCCCTGCCCTGCCGTAACCCCCCTTATGTGTTGCAGATGGAGTCTCCAGGCTCCCCCTCCCTCCTCTGGCTTCTGTATTTTGTGCTTGCATGAGGAGGGGGCATTCACATGGGGTGGTTGTAGTTGATGTGGGGGTAGGGTTGGGTGCCCAGTGCATTAAAGGGGGGCATCCATGCAGCCCATGGGGCCCATGAACCTCACTGGTGCAGCCTGTGGAGCATGCAGCCCTTGGCCACTAAAAAGTTTGACAGCCCTGATAGACATGTGCTAAAACACGGTAATAGCGATTGACTTGTATGCTTGTCTTGAGAGAGACTACTTTCAACTGTACTTAAGAATGGGTTACCGTCTAGATGCTGTACATTGACCTTGTATTTTATTGGGTTGTTTTTTTTCACAGCCTTACCGTTGAACACATGCTGGGCAACAAAGTACTGTAGCTTTCCACCTTCATCTGATATTTACAGAGATTTTTACAACTTTTGTTTCAGTAACGTTTGGGGTCGTGAAGAGCACTCGCCTCTTGTACATGCATTTTGAGGTATGAAGGAGCAACCTGCATAAATTTAACGTGCTGGCATCATGTTTTGTTTTGTTAAAATGACTTAAGATGAGCAAGCAGAAAAATCGATCCTGTGGTTCTTGGACAGATGTTCTTGGGAGGGTGGGGGTGAGGGGGAAATGGAAGTTGTCAAGTAAGGATTATGAAATCGGGCCCAAAGATGAACTAAAATGTTTAATCTTAAATTTCAATGACTGCTTTAAGTGTTAATGCAAGACTTGTGCTGGTCGTTAAATGGATGGATGTGTCATGTTGGAATTTTCAGGTTCATCCATAATGTCAATAAAAGCAATGTACTTTGAGATTTTTTTTTCCCCCCAAGAGGTCTAATTTAAACATGCTACAGTAATTCAGCAAACTAAGGAGGATCAGAGCATGTGAATTTGAAGGTGTTCTCAGCATTTTGTATATACTCATTCTCTGTCTGAGACTGCAGCAGAGAAGCTATGTATTGAAATACTTGGTCTGACTTGTGCGCACACCTGTTCATACTCACCAATAGGCATTTCTGTGCAAATCAAGTACCTGGATGTGCAGTTAATTAACTTGGAATGAACAAATGTGAGGTTTGTGCATGCAAACAAAGGTATGATTTTGCCACTCCAAATTACGAAGTGGTAGCTGGAAGTTTGGTTTTGTCTGCATAAGGATAACTAATTCCCATTGGAGTGTCGGTACTTACTTCCCTGTCTTGTAACCTGGGTCGTAATTATTTGAGATTGACTTGGCTGCTGAGTTGTGTACACTCTGCACATTTTATTCATAATCCCTGGAAACGAGGCCTGAGATTAAGAGTACAAATGACAAAATGGCAAAAAAATTGCTTCCAGCATTGCACATAGTCCTGCTAGATACACCAGGCCTTGGGCTGCATCTTCTGCCCTATTTGGAAATGAGCTGGTCTTGTCAGAGCTCCAGTGAATGTGGTATTGGGGTAGTCCTTTGTTCTGACCTATGTGTATATTATATCTCACCAAATGACCTGATACAGTTTGGGGTGAGCTGAACGACTAGATGTCTGTGCTCTGCTGCAGAGCTGCCTTTCACCTGAATGGATACTGCAGTCCGTTTTGTCCTCCTGCCAGTTCTCTTGGACAGAACAAACCTTTTTAGCTATTTTTAGGGGACTATTGCAACAGTAGTTTTGCATCACACTGAGACTTGGGCATTCTTAAATTCATGATGGTACTTGATGAGCTAGGCTTTGTAACCATGGAAAAAATCATGTTATCCCAGCTGGGGAAATCCTAACTCCACCTTGGTAGGTGGAATTAAAAACTAAGGGAATTAGTGATACTGATGACAGCTCATTAGGAAATCCCTTTGTATTGTAGATCTGTGAAAACAAGATAATTTTCTTTTCCCCTTCCTTGCCATGGCCTCCTGCATGCACGTAATAAACTTTTAAAAAATAAACTGGGTTGCCTGGTAGTAAGACTTGTTAGGTTGGCTTAACCTCCATGGCAATTGCAAAAGCCCTGGCATCTTTTTCAGGGCAGAGCAGTCTGCTGTGGAGCTGCGGTGGTTCTAGCATATTGCCACGAGATCTGATAGCCAGGATGGATCTGTCTATATTAGGAAGAAGATAGTGGCACTGAACACAATAAAACAAAGGATTGTCCCTAACACGTCAACGTAAATCATAGCATTTTTGAGTCCTAGAAATAAGAACCAGAAACTTTTATTTTTCTGTAAGATTTTTCTCTTAAATTTAGTGTAGGACACTATCCCTATAGAATAGGAATAAGAAAAAATTCAATTCAAGAGTATATTTGCCTAGATTTCCCCACTACTAATTAATTCTACATCTGACTCAATAAAATGTGCATTTGATGCCTGCACCCTTACTTTTGTAAATCTAATGAAAACTTTTTATTTAAATGAATGAATTCTACTAGTGACACTCCTGTTTGAACTTGCACTGCTCTGGATCTCTTGATCAGGGAATGAAAAGATGTAGAAAAGGCTCTAGTGAATATTGGGGAATGGAGATTTCCCAAAGTAGATTCTTTAGGTTCTTCCTGAAATAGGCAGGATTTATTACTGGAAAGTCTAGGCTAAAATTCAGATACGTATGGGATGTTTTTTTTTTTGTTTTTTTTTTTTCAATGTATATGCGTATTTCTTGAAGTCATGAAAACTGTTTCCTAGCCCCTTTGTTTTGTGAGCAAGGCTCCTTGCATAGCAGTGAAAGGGTTTACCTGTTAATCTATTGTATAAAAACTCCAGTTGTCCCTATATGCCGTGTAGTAACTTTATCACATGTTATGTCAAGTGTGAGCAACTTCTGGCCTGAAGCTTTCGCGATGGACTTTGTACATTTCTATGCATCATTTGAGTTAAATTGCTGAGAAGTTTGTTTTTGACTTGTGCTTTGAGATCGACATACTGCATTTGTTTACAATATGAAATATAAGCAATCACATCTTTAAAGTATAGATTATCACCTGCTGCTGTATTTTCTTTAGATGAGACAAATATTGCTGTATGATAGTGAGAAGCTATAAATACAGGATTTGATATTTTTTGAAAATGCTGTCACTTTTGTATAAGATTAGACATTAAACGTATTTTCAAAACTGTTGCGTTCCTGTCCTTCAGTTACTGCTTTATCCCTCTGCCATGCATCAAAGTACAAATTGCACCAGGATGGGGAACAACAACCCTGAGTAGAGAAACCAAGGAGAAGGTGACTATACGGATTCACAGAAGCTTAAGGCTGAAAGGGACTGCGTCAGACCATCCAGTCCAGCCCTCCCTGCTGTGGGCAGGAACAACTGCTGGGCTCAAACAGCCCCAGCAAGGTGTGCATCCAGTTTCCTTTTGACGAGCTGTAAAATGTGTGTTGCTATCGTAACCAAGATCTTCTACTTGATTGTCATTTAAAATAAACATGTTTTCTTATTTGTTCAATTTATATGCTGCCCTTTACCACACAGGCTCAGAGCAGCTTAAAATAAAAGAATGAAATAATGTATAATAAACAGTAACAAAATAAAACAAAAACCTCCTCAACAGTATACCAGCCTACCTCGGTATGCTTAATGCTTGTACAAATTGGAATGTTTTACAGCACTTTTTTGAAGGATACCTAGTCTCAGGTTTTGTACTCAGAAATGGCTGACTTCTGCAAGATCCTGGCACTTGGTTTTAAAGGTTGTTATAAATATGGATGTGACTGCAGTAGCAGTGTAACACATTAGGCCAGTGGTTTTCGAACTTCCTGAAGTTGCAGAACCTTTTTATATCACTTGTGCCATAGAACCCCTACCCCCAAGCTAAAGCTGAATGGTGACCCGACCTGGCAATGGCAGGGCACCACGTCCCAGCCTGCTCTTTTTCACCCCCAGTCTCCTTGCAGAGCCACTGATGACCTACTGCAGAACCACAGCATTGAAAATCACCGCATTAGGCTGTGTGTGTGGAGCCTGCTTTAAAAACTGCTTTGATATACCCCTGTCCAGTTACCTTTAGCTAAGCTATTAAAGCCTCCTGCCCCCTTTGGTATCCTTGTTTGAAATTGGGGAAGAAAGGCAGTGTGCTAAACTGAAGATCCCTTTTCCTAAGCTAGGCACTGTGTGTACATGCACTCATTGTAGGATATTGTAAGTTGTGATATCTTGTAGGAAGAAAACGTGTTTAGCTCATTGGCTGCACTCATGACCTCTAAAGTTACACTCCAGTCTAATGGAGGAAGTAAAATCTTCACCTCAAAGATGTAAAATTGAGGTGGGTTTGTTTTCCATCACTTGTCACCATCAAGCTAGAGAGAATATAACCAAGTTAGAGATGAGGAAAAACCGAATTACCCATTGACAACACTGGCACTTTTTGGGTGTTTATATACGTGCTCCAAGGGGCATGGGGGTGTATGATTTAATTAGAGCCGCTCCGATCTCTAATTAAAGCACCTAGAGTGTCACATGTATCAGCATCCCCACCCTGAAAAATGGCAGCAGGGGGACTTTAATGCACATCAAACAAGCTTTCATTAAAACACCCCTGCTGCCCTTTAGTGTGGGGAAGCTGATACATGTGATGCTGGGGTCTGCTGGAGCACGGTTTCAGCAGACTCGATTAATCAAGTCTGCTTTGACACGCTGTAAGAACAGTGCATTGGTGCAGCCTTGATGCATGTGTATAAGCAGCCCTTGTGGTCAGCTATATTGAATTGGGAATCAGCGCACTGTATTGCTCAATTTAATGTTAAAGCCTGGATGTTATCACTACAGGGCTGACAGCATCTTTTGTCTCCTTGTTGGTCTCTGACTTCACTCTGCCAAGTGAAAGGCTTCTTATTACCTGTCATGGAGTGAATCTTGCCATTCTTCCACTCATGTGGAGACCTAGGACCTTAGTGTATATTGGCTACTTACCACCAGCTGATGTACATGGAGCAGCATGCTCAGGTCTGGCTCTTCACATCACCCTGCAGCTCTGAAGGGGTTCAGGTAACTTTTTTCCTTTTTTAAAGTTGCATTTAAAACACTGTTTCCGTGCATGCTTGGCCTATCTGTAGTGTGACATGCAATTAAACAAAGATACTTTCTCCTTTACAAGAATAGGAGAGCCAGTTAATTCTCCCCTAAAAAACAGACCAGCCAAAAGAGTGGGCTTGTACTATTTAAGGGTTTTCACTCTGGCAATCATTAACAGAAGTGGTTGGGTAAAGAAGCTGTTACTTGGTTGTGGAGTGAAGCTGTCTCATCTTACTGTGAAAATCAAGTGCAAAAATTCCACATTGAGCGCTATCTTTCTATACAGGTGTTGGCGTACTTTGTTGGAGAGTTGGTCTGAGTGCCTCGCAAAACATCAACTTAATGAAAAAGCACAAAAATGTTCATTTGAGGTTTCCATCGTACCTTTCTGAACTCAAATCTTGTATCAATAATGTGAACTTTGGAGCAATCTGTGCATTGAGCAAAATGTGCATTGTTCTTGTTGGGCATTTTTGGCATCCCTCACCCAGGCTCTTCCAGAGCCGAGGTCAGTGTACTTGGAATTGGAGTAGCTGAGGCATTGGGGTGAGCAGGTCAGGTTTGGGCAGTCTTTTCTAAGCACTTCAGGAACGTTGGGCGACGTGGATTCTCATGCTTGAGATTGAGTTGGTCACGCTGGTTATATGGTACTTGAGAACTGGGTCTGTTCAAGATAATCAGCTCTGCTGAAGTCTTTGTTGCAAGTGGTTATAATTCAGTCGAGCCTGAGGGCATTTATGCGCATACATTTGTCTGCTCTGATCTGGCGTGTTGGAGTAGACTCAATCAAGTCAGCTCCGCATGCCAGCTGATGCATCTGGTGCTGCATCACATATGTTTGTATAAATGGCAAATTGCATGTTAGCACTGAGAAAATGGTGGTGGTGTGCTTTTGACCTAAAACACCTTTGATGTGTTTTAGTTCAAAAGCGCGCTGCCACCATTTTCTCAGTGCTGATGCACATTTCACCATTTATAGAAATGCATGCGCTGCAGCGCTGGGCGCGAGCATATGTACAAGAGTACCTCTCTTCTGAGGACAGAGCTGGCCTTTACTTTCTCATTGTTAAATCTGGCATGTGGGGGCAGAGGCATAACTGCTTGGGGCAGCATCGTGGCCACC